TCCCAAGTCGTCACAATGGGCCACCACATAATTGCGTTGCATGTAATTATATCGGCACATGCGGTCATGATACATATTGTAAAATCCGAGGCGCGCTCCGCGTCGAGAGACGAGCTCGTCCCCGATTCCTCTCGTAATTTTTTCATGCGACATGACATCACGAATCCATCTCGACGGAGAACTGGCTCTTCCTTGATGTTATTATCCTGACTTGTGGTCTCGAGAAACTCGAGGATCCTTGGTCCATCCGAAATCCTCCAGGAGCTCGAAGTTCCTGAATATAATCTATGGAATCCCTTTACCTAATTCCCAAACACACTCGGAACGTCGAGATCCACTACTCGACCATATATCTAACGTGTTACCACATTCGCCACGAAACAGAACGAGAAATTCTGTTAAGCGGTGGTTATCGATAGCTATATTATGAAACTTTTTCCAGTAACTCTACCTGCATTTAAACCAGTTTTAATCGAACAGTTAATGTACACGCGAAAGTGTATAATTAAACTTTATTCTTTTAATTGGAAATTTAGTTCCTTTTGCGCGTAACATAATTATAATTATTTCTTTTACGAAACTGACTTTTCAGCTAATTTTAATTTTATAGTTTAACTGTAGAATTTTTCTTATATAATAATATTACTTGAAATGGATCAATTAAACGATTAAAGGATATTAGTTATTGTTTTATATTTATATATGTTTATTTTATTATTACAACATTCAGTTGTGTTAATAGATATAAATTAATTAAATAAGAAACCGCAAAATACGGTTGAGGTTAGCTAGTATTTCTATGTAAATTTTAAATACATATTTCAGTTATATAAACTTCTACGATTATTTGCAATACAAACTGAAAATAATATAATCTTATAGATGAAATTGATCGTTAATTTGACAATGTATTGCTGTTAGTATTTTAAAATACCGCAAAGAACTTATAAATATAAATAATCAAATTAATGCAAAACTGATTTCGGAAGAAACAATTAAATTGTTAATATTATAACTTAATAATAAGTTAAAAGTGGAACTACCAGTTCGTGAGAATACGCAGTTGCTATTTTTATGCGGTATTTTCCGGCTCTTCTATGCAGGAGAATGGGCATAGGAGGGGCCGGGGGAGGGGAGAACATGGGTTTATGAAACTGTTATATTTCGCTACCCTTGCTAGCTATACAGTAACTGTGTTTCTGCCGCGCACGTCGCGGCTATACAGAAGCTACGGGGCGTAGTGTGTGCAGTCTATGCACTCGACGAAGTTTACTCGCCGCACTGCAGTGGTAACGACTCGTCGGTGTTGCTGCTGCGTGCCTTCTCGCGTCGAGAATGGATTCTCCCCACCTGTCTGCTTTGAAATGATTTTCGAAGAGCCCCGATGTAGCTTTGCCGCGCTCAATATAGTTTTGCCGCTCCCACTCACGTGCGCGCGGCCGCACACCTCTCCGTATCCTGACAGGTATCGCGATGATAGATAAGCCCCGCGTACGGCTTTTTTATTCATCCTCACCGCTTCCGGTCCTTTCGCGATTCCTTGGCAAACGTCCAGGATCGCAACTCGTCCGAACCAGGACGCGCGGGCTCTAAAGTTCGACGCGCGGCCCCGTTAGGCAGTGCCCATTTTAAAATGAATTTTTCTCGTCCCTCTTTCTCCCTTTCACACACACGCGCTTTTTCTGTTCTTCTGTTTCTTTTTCCGCGCGGAACGTTCTGGCCGAACGAGGCCGCGCCGTAGAAGTTTGCACATCCGCGCGTATTTTCTCGAGCGAATCCGTGATTTTTTTATTTTGGAAACATGATGTTTTCGTAATGATGATAAATAGACAAATAGATTGTTTTAAACATAGAATAATTTTCTTAAAATTCGTGTGCAGAATAGCAGCGCAATGTGAATATACGAGTATATTATACAACCTTAGCCATAAGTATAAATCTCCTCAATTTATTGCACTTTTTTGGAAAAGGCGGTAATAAAAGCTGTATAAAAACTAATACAACTGTTATAAAAATAAATATTACTTTTATAACAATTTTATTAGTTTTCAATGAAATTGTTTTTAATTTATTTTTGTTAAATATACATTTTACGTTGTGTGTTTATACTTATGACTAAATTTAAGGTTGTAATTATTTTAATTGAAGTTATGTTTTAAAATAAAGGAAAGAGATTTATTAAGTTTTTTTAATATTTTTTGAATACTTTCGTAATGATGATAAATAGACAAATAGATAGAATGTTAAATGTAGAATAATTTTCTTAATCCGTGTAGAATATTAACGCAACTTAAATAAAAATTGCGCGCGTCTGTCGTGTATTATAATTATTTTAATTAAAATTAAAATAAAGAAAAATGAATCATTAAGTGTCCTTTTAGTAAAATGGAAAAGGAATTTTTTATGAAAATTTCGTGTTTTATCGGATGTGTATCTTGTATGATAAAGAACGGTGATATATTGTGGCGGAAAGTAATCATTGTAAATTCAAATAATCGTTTTCTTTCGCTTATTACGTGAGACTCGGCGATCGCGAAATTCTATTCAATTCGAAATGCTTTTAACGAAATATTAGATGGAGTCGCCGCTGCGACCGAATTCGCGATGCCTCGGATTTCGAAAGATTTGTCACCGACATATGTTATAGCATCCTCAAGGGGAACAACCCGAGGGAAGACACAGAAACTCCTCGCTCGCGGAAACATATGTAGTGCACGTTCGTCTGCGGAGAAAGAATTCTTTATGGACGCCTCGTAGAGGCTCGTATATTATCGCATAATCGTAAAGGCTTAAGCGCAATGCAGTCGGTTCCTCTCCACCAGAAAACTCGGGTTGAAACTACGAACGTTGCGTTTTCTTTCCGGCTGTCTTTCTATCGTCTTTTTCTCACTTCTTTCCCCTTCGTCCCTCTTTTTCGTACAGTATTTGCGCTATTCTCCTGCTCTCCACGGGAGAATTTCACGGACAGTTCGGTCGCACGTAAAAGATGAAACGCCAGCGGGAGAAGCATACAGCGGGACGAGGTCTCAAGGCAGGAAGCTGCTTGTGAATTTTTCAGACTACGATGAATTACCTCTGATAGCAAGTTCGGACGCAGAGCAGCACGGAAAACGAGAGCTCCTAGTGACGGATAGGTAGATAGTTTCCGCAAATTATAATAATTTGACGAGGTAGTGTATCTGCATTATATATTTTTCGTGACGAAATGAGCTGAAGCGGGTGGTGTGAAAGCAACTGAATTCTGAGGCAATTGCTTCGAGCATAATTCAACCGGTGAATAAATTTCACGAGAGTAGCTGCTCAAAATGCATCAAAAGAATCGAAAGAATTTTCTGATTTGTCATTTTCGCGACAGATCAATCATTTTATGCTTTTTATAATAATTATTTTTTTTAAATACAAGTTGAAATTTGCAGACAATGATTTATCACAAGTTACATCGTAATATATATAAGATAATATATTTTTGAAACTACAAGAAATTACGAACGAAGGATAAAAAGTTAATTTACAGTGTTTCAAAGGTCGCCATTTTTTGAAAGTGTCAGCAAATTGTATATTATTGTAATGATAAAATTGAGGAAGTGACAATATATATGACAGGTATCGTATTGTGTTACAGGACGTAGAAATAAAAATGTCTTTAATAATAACATGTATATAGTGTTTTACCATAAATTATATTATAAAGAATACAATAACAAAATAGCATGCTTTTGAAATTACAAGGGGAACATCCGTTACCAAGAATTAATTTAAAAAATTAATTTACCTCACTACATATACTTTCTGTTAGTTTCGAATGTGTCAACAAATTACATGGCTGGTTGCTGATGATGCGAAATATATTAGAATATTTCACAAAGGAAAATATGAGCCAATTATGTATGCGCTTCTTTATACGATAGAGAATACCTGTACAAAGTGTTACTTCAGACTTCGGAATTGCATATTTCAAAGCACATAAAGAGAAAAATTTTTTAGCACGATATATCTGTCTTCAGCTTTAAAGCTTTTGAAGATATGCAATTTTGAAATTTGAGATGAAACAAAGAAAATATTCAGTTTCACAAGCTGGCCACGGTTATGATATTGTGTCGTTCACGACAGGAAAATCCAGGATCTTATCATTATACTTTGCGTTTGGATGTACCATTTTTCTCTATATTTATGAAGACTTTCTCTCTCTCTCTCTCTCTCTCTCTTTCTCTCTTATTACGAAACATTTGCGGGCGAGATCTCTTTCGCGAAACATCCTCGACAGGACGCAATATCGTATCGCGACAAACGTGCATACACGCCTTGCATAACACGCGCGATATTACGCTGAATTCGTAAGAAAGCCTAGGGTTTTCATTTTGATTGTCATTGCTTGAAATGGCCCCCCCTTCGATATTACGCTGAATTCGTAAGAAAGCCTAGGGTTTTCATTTTGATTGTCATTGCTTGAAATGTCTCCTCCCTCCGCGGTGACATCATCGCGGTTTGAAACCAATCAACCAGAGATAAATTTCATTATATGAATAGCTACAATCCAAAAAATATGATTATGGATTTAATATGCAGTGTTTATATAATTCTCACCAAGTTGGTATTGATACAAACAATATATAGCTTTTAAATCCACATCGTGTCGGTGCTGATGTTAACACTAACATAGTGAGAATTATATAAACTACGTATGTTTAAAATTAAATCCACACCTACATATTTTTAGAGTGTAACCGTGCTTCTAGTTAGCTGTTTACGCGATGATCTTATTATATATAGCACACACAGGCTTCCCAGGAACTTGCTAAAGACATCGAGAAGACATTCTACATCCCAAAAATGTTTCCAGAATGTCCCACGGACAAATTGTGCTATATGGAATGATCTATTAATGCGAGTAATTGGCATTTTCGCATAATTCTTCGACGAGTGCGCGGAGTGATCCCATTTTTATCCCCGTAAAATTAACGACTGATTAAGCTTTCGTCGAGCGTATATTTCTATCTCACCTGATAGTCCATGTAATTTCCGTAGCCCATGTGGTTGCATGTGCAGGCGCATGCCTGAATGTGCCTCCGCATGTCGAGTTCGACCTCTTCGCCGCATACGCCTCTGCTCGTCGCCATCATCGTATCTCCCATGCAATAGCCGCCGGTGCAATACATTCTCGGGTCACTCTGATCCAGGTAACCCCCACCGGTGTCGTCGTATCCGAGCCCGCTGGCGCACCTGGAATCCGAGGCGTATCCCACCCGGGACTGAGGACGTTCCTCGTAGCCCAGTCTAGACTGGGACCGGTGGAATGTCGAGGATACATCCTGGAAGAAAAAGGGAAGATTGTTCTACAACAAATCACTTGATAGTCGAGAATTCTAGATTCAAATTCTAGTTGAGATGATATTTTTCGCAATAAATTTTTTGTAATATTCTTTTGAAGGTGTTTGTTATCATCATTATTAAAATTAACGATAAATATAATTTATGATGATATTTCCAGTTCTAATTCATGATTGCATTTCAAGTTTGACAAACCGAATATGGCGCGCAATTTATAGAACTGAAAAATGTGTTTGCAAATTTGTATATAAATATTATTAAGTATCAAAATCCGTTAAAAAAAAAAATAGAATTCTTTTATTTAAGTCTTTTATTTAAGTCATTTATTATAGTATTTAATTTAAATTAAATCTAATTTAAATTATTCGAAAAAGCTTAACTAAAGCCATTTAATTTTATTAGATTTTAAAAATTATTCGAATATTAATTTTCGATATAAAATTATTTTTAATAGACAAGTAATTTTATTTAAAAAATTTTATTTTTACTGTAACTCGCAAACTTTTTGTTTATGTCACGTTCAAAATCGCACAAATATGATTTGTTAAACGATAAACAATGAGAATGTGTCAAATATGATTCTATGCCTGTTGGGATATTGTTGTATGTATCAGTTAAAAACGAATGGTATGTACCGTCCATTGAATAGCAACTTTAATTGGCTTTCTTGTATAGAAAATATTGACCGAAAATTATCCAAAAATAATACTGTTTTTGTGGCAAACATTGTCAGGAAAAACTCATGTAAATCGAGTTAAATTAATTGTTATCAATATAAGCGATGAAAGTTAATAAAAATAAAAAATAAAGTAAATTTATATAATAATTGTAACATTGAGAGCTGAAATCAAAGGAATATTAATTACTTTAAAAAAATAGATTATAAACTAATTTATATATATTTATAACATTATATTTCTAACATTATATTTCTAACGCTAATACATGGTAGAGTGGTATACAACAAAACAGATTATCTAATTGAAGTATTCTTTTATTTCTGTGTACGTATTATGTATGTATTGGTCGAAAGCAATTCGGTTGATTAATCCGGCTTCGCAAACGAGATATCGTTCGCCAACCAGACATGCTAAGAATCTCTCGAAATATGAAGAAATTTAATATTCGAGACGTACGGTGAGCATTTAGAATTTGAAAAGAATCGTCTTAATGCAGCACACATAGGTGGAATGGCGTTACCGTGGGAATTGCAATTGCGTAAGGGAATGTAACGTGCCAGTCGCATCTGAGGATTAAATCTTTTACATGCGAAATTACCTGCTTCAGTTTATATATACCTACAGTTTCCTTATTTACGCAACCAGGAGAAGCGCTTGTGTGTTACGAATTGCATCGATTTGCAATAAGTAACGATCTATAACGAGAAAAGCATTTTGTACGAAAATCCATTATGGGAAATATACCAGGTATTTCTCGAATCGGTTGCCATCATTTTTGAAATACGTTCAATGGATTTATAACAAAATATATATGTTTCTAAAGTTTATTAGTTTTTAATAAAGAATTGATTGCGTAAGAAAAATTTCAAATTTATTTATTTTTTAATAGAAAATCGATTTTATTATAGAAATTATATTTTTTTAAACGAAACCATATTTTTCCCTATATTTTTGTAGCACATAAAAAAACAATTCATTGATATAACATTTTATTTATTATTCTGTCTAAAATCTCAAAAGATATAATAATTTAATTAATACTCCCAATTTAATCCACGAATCTGTTATTGATACATAAAGTGTTGTAAATACTAATTTATCTTGGTATTGAGATAATTAAAATAATGCTGTATAGATAAATTTGTCTTTTTATATATAAAAAAACAATATAAAAAAATATACAGTATTATTTAAAAGAATATAACTTGATTTACGGTTCTTTATTAAAAAATAAAATTTAAAATTTTATTACGGAGTTAATTTTTTATTAAAAACAAATAAATTTCTGCTAAAATTTTGTGTTGATAACATTTAAAATATCTCAAAAATCGTGGAATAGCTCTTGCATACATAAGAGTAATGCGATAATTCACAATTGCTATAAATATTTTAATAGCGTATTTTGAAGATTAATTAGAACATTTTACCTATGAAAATGTCAAAGTAATAATTTTCGTGTTATACGCGATCACAGTTGGTCAGTGATTTGCACGCTCACATAGATTGAGATCTGCAATATTTCATTTGCATTTGCTTGATCTGAATCCGGTTTTGTATGATATAATCTGTAATCTCTCTTATCGAATTTGATATTGTAAATGTTATATACATTTATATATAATAATTATTGCACATGTTGTATTTTATTTTATCAATTACTTTTTTCTCTTTGTGTCCGGATTTGTGTATTGAAACTTGAAAACTCTGTCTGTCACTGATATAATCTGATAATTATAATATAATACTATTAAAGTATTACACGTTGATTGTGGGGCACTCCGTATTTTCGTGTATCGTTTAAATGTAAATTGTCGAAAATCCTTTGCAAATCTATGATCCAAAATCAATGTATTTACAAACTATAATACATATGTCTGAAATCATTATTTCAGGTATTATTTTATATCTCTATCATTTCAAATATATTCATATCAAGTATTGAAACAAATACTTGTACACTAGGAACAATGTTTTGTTTTATGAACTAAAATTTTGCTTAACGAAATGAAATACTTGATTAAAATGTACCGAATAAAACTGTTTAGTTGGTATAAAATATTGTTATAAAACAATATTTTTGTTATTTACAAAGCAGAAAAATATACTTCGCAGAGACAATTAAATTTTTTTGTTACATAAAATAAAATATTTGATTGTTAAAAAATACCTCAATTAAACAGTTTTGCTGAAAATATAATATTAAATTTTTCTAAAGTACGTTTATAGCGTGGTGGGTTTAAGGAAAGAATTCCGAAAAAAATGGAAACTTTATTCGTCGTGTTTATCTCTTGTTCATTCTTTCGGTACATTCGCAGTTACCATCGCGTGTAGCAATACTCAATGGCTTATGAGCTATCCCATATTCCGCGGTATGTTGCTGCATCGTCGTTCGATATGGACGGCGTGGCGGCCGGCGGCTGCACGACGACGACCGCCAGCGCGAATCGAGCGGCTTTCTATCGCCGCTATCTTTACACCCGCCACCGAAATGGCTTCCCGTAACAGTAAAGTATCGATATCGCTAAAATAACCGGAACGTATGTACGATCTTTGAGGCCGAAACATGTACACGGCGCAGGATCCTGAAATTCGCCCAGAAACATTCTGTCGTCATCGCCATATGACTCCGAACGATAGAGACTGCAGGAGTATAGTTGGCACCTTGCTCCACGATTTTATGACCGCGGGATAATGTCTTTTGAACGATGCATTCGATCGATAGCTTACTGATTTCTGAAGATTTGTTGTATCCTTCCTAAGCTTTGTAAATTCCATTGGTCTCGCAAAATGACACGTACTTAATGCAATAATATGTGACAAGTTGCGCGTGACTTTATTTAGAGAAAGCATAAAATGCGTTTCTTTATTCGGACAAAGAAAGAAATTAACTGAGAAAAGCTGCCATGTGATAAATGAGAAAATAATGTTTTTTTGGAAAATTTTTTTTATTTTAAAAAATTATTCTCTAACTAAATTATGAAAAATTGTTCAAAACAAATATTTTTTACAACCTTACATAATTTTAAGTTAAATAATCTTATTAGTTAGGCAAGTTTTGAAACGAACATCGATTAGGATTAAGTTTCAAAACAAATAGGGCTAATAGCACCCGTGTAAATCTGACCCCCTAATATTAAAAAATCGATTTTTTTTCTTGCATTCGTTTGCTCATCGTTTGCTCACGAATGCTCAGTTGGGATTTTCGTTTGCTCACTCTTAGTTCAAAGGATATACGAAAATTATTTTTTGGGGGGCCAGCTTCACACGGGTGCTAATAGCCAGTTATGTAATAAAGAACGTTTAATTTAAAGATATAAAAATGAAAATAATTAAAATAAACAACAAACATTTCGACGCCAATCATTCTCAATGTTACAGTAAATATATTATTATAAAATAATTGGAAATCTACAAAATATTTCTTCATAGTGGCATTCTCGCTTTGTTCTCCTTATTATGTTGCAAATCAATCAATGAAAATAGTAAAATCAGTCACTGAAAAATTCATAACACAGCAATAATCTAAAAAGTAACATTAATGCTATTACACACAAATTAAATTATATATATATATAAAAAAAATTTTTTTTAAATGTACCTTATAAAATAAAATGTTGAGAGTCAATAAATAAAAACACAAAAAAATTCATCGTAGTAATACACAGTAGTCTGCCTAAATTGATCGTTGGAGCAAGATTGCAAAAGAAGTAAAGAGCAAGTGATTTCGACGACAACGTAATGTCAGGAAGGAAAATAAGAACTTTAAGTTTCATATAATATATATTGTCCTGTAATCTAATTTTAATAAATTAATTAGTTCTAATAAATTCTTTTTAGTCAGAAAAGAATAATACAACAGTATAATTAAACAGAGAAAGTGCACGTTAGAGAAGTCACCTGCGGCGATATCATTCCGTAGAAAATATCGAGGGGCGGACAGATGATCGGCACGTGATCGCTTTGTATACGCGTTATACATTCGCGAAATTGGGTCCGCGGGCGACGTGTGGCTCGCGGCTAGAGATGTCGAAATTTAATAGGATATTGATACTTTTACTTTTTGATTTTAAATACCGCAAGTATCGACATTTTCTATAGCGTACTCGATATCTCTCGTTCATAAATATTGATATTAATGCTCGTGGTACATATGTATATGTAAGAGAGGCAAAGATCTGCTGAACAATCAAATTTAAACGAGGACAATCAATGCAACTTGGCGCATCCTTTATTCAAAGCTTCGATATCACGTCGATCTTTATCCTTTAGCTATTTTCACGTACGATTACAATCATCGTTTTTAAAAATACTCAATGTAGAAAGCAAAATATTGATACTGTCCGTGTTCTATTTCGCGCGATAATTAATTCAATCCAATAGCGTCGATTTTATTCTCGATTTACCGTCGTTTTCGCGATTCTATACGGGACGTGATCTCGCGACGGAAACGACCTCCGTCGAATCGATAGTCCGTACTAATGCTCGTATGGTGAAACTTGGAGGGCTGAAGCGCGCCGAGCCGAATCAATTTTCGGATACCGAAAACCCGTAATAGCTCTTCGAAGATTCTCGCGGAGAAGTTAAAGCGGGCTCTGGCTGAAACTCGTGACGTACGGCTATTAGGAGTCTCTCTCGCTGACGAGACTATCCGGAGATAAATACCGAGCCTCTTTTCCTACGAGCATCGTATTAATAAACCCCGTCGAGTTGACGGGTAGAAAAAAAATAACCTCGTCGCGCGATTAGCGATGCGACGCTTTTAGCGACAACGTTGCATTAAACTTCGATTTAAGAGTATTTTGAGGATGCATTCTTTTTCTGCTTTACGTACCACTCGGAAAGTTCTAATTGTAGTTGTTTGTCTTCTACTTTGTGCGACAGAATATACGGAGTATTCGGAAATGGTGGGTGGAAGATTTAGAGGCGTATTCTTCTGAGCTTAGTGCATTTTTATTGGACGACATTTGAAAATGCTCGATATTTTATTTCCTTTTTTATATCGATTTTTGAAAAAGTATAGTATATTTACGTTAATAATTTTTGGTAACGTGAGTTTATATTTTCAAAAAGAGCGATGACAATTCCTTTTGTCTCGCTTGTATATCGCGATATGAATTATAGATTGCATCTCATAAATAATTTCTCTTACATTTTTGATATCAGAGAAGGCGAGGCACATTATTATGCATGAAAACTTCTCGCTATTCGTATTATCGGATAGCGATCGTTTCAGTTCGCTGAATCATGGCGATCTTAAAGTCTGCCCTTTCCACGCTAACTAAGCTCCTATTTCCCTGGAAGCAGCAAATTCAATTTTCGCCATTCGATAATCATAAATACCAGACTCGAGCGGTTACATTATAAAACGGCGAACTCGTTCGATTCTATTGGATAATTATCGTGTAATATCTATACCTAGAGGGAATATCAAATTTAATCGACATCGATTTGTGCAGTGGCACTTTGTGCTCCACCGAAGTTCAATACGAATAACCGCGATATTAATCGCATTAAGATAAATTATAGTTTATCTTAATTATCAATATTAATTTAGCTTATGATGACAGAAAATCACATTCATGTATTACTTACTAAATATTTTTATGAAAAGTATATTATTTATACATAAAGATACAGACAAAAATATATAAATCGGGCGTTTCGTTTGCGTGTGCTACGTAAATAGGTATTTCAAAATCACTTCCAAAATTCAATTTTATCTGGTTATTCTATTAAAACTTTTCATTTTTGTGTTCATATGTAACTTTATGGATACACGAGAAAAGGGCACCTATTATGGAACAAGTCGGAATGGATTCCGATCGGAATTATTTCATTTTTCCTAGAAAACACAATGGAAATCTAGGAAGTTATTGAAAAATTTCGACCGCAATCTATTTCAAATAATTCCGTGATGTGTACTCAGTAGTAATAATAACTATGTAATTCCGAACGAAAAGACAGTATTGTTCGAATTTTGTAAACAATCGGGAACTAGTAATGTCAAAACTAGTAATATATAATTCAATCTATTGTGCTGGCGAAAAGTTTTTCGTTATATCGCATTCGTATATTTTTGTATACAATTGAATGCACATCAACCGTGTTCGGCAAATTCGCATCTAATGATCAATTTTTTTTGTAATTTTAAGAAGGCTGTTTTTTCGTTACACATAATTTGCTTCATACTTTTTAAATATCTTTATCCAACTTGTTACACGAAAAATGAAAAAATAATCGGTATGTTCGCATAAAATCACGAGAAATTATGAACTTTGCGCGATACACTGAATATCGTTAACTTTGCGGAACTGACGGTGGATTCATTAGACTTACTTAATTATAAGTCTCCTTTTATTAAAAATGTTAAACAATTTTATTTTCTTTTACGTACACCTGAAAATTTGGATTATTCTTATTAAAATATACTTAGTATTAATTCTTTTTTTACGAGTTTAGTTAGCATAAATTAAGTGGGTTTCAGAGACTCAATGTCAGGAACTGCGTTACACATTTTGGCGTCGACTTGTGAGTTCAACAGTTGGGAGTGTTTTTATACTCCAGCGAAAAAAAATGTGAATTGTTGAAAAATATTGCTTTGTATCATTTAACATATTGTCTTAATAACTATTGTTTTTAAATCTTCAAATATATAATTCCGTTGAAAATCCGTAATAAAAAAACGTTATGTTAATTAAAACCTTTTTTTTGTAGAAATACTATTATAACATAAGCTACATTTAATGTGCTTGTTTTGTTTAACATTCTATTTCTTTGCTTTTTTCAGAAAATTGTGATTAAATTTATATCATTAATGTTCGTAAATGCTAATAATTGAAAAACAATTAATAATGTACAATACGACAGTAATTAACGATAGTAATTTAATTGAGGTGTTAAAAATCACCCCGGGTGATTTTATTTACGTAAAAAAATCAAGTGACCACGGGGTTAATCAATACAAATTAAATGGATTTTATAAATCCAGCATCAGCGGATGTGTTACAAATTTTCAGTTTAGGTCCGGAGGGTTAATGCGATCGAACTAATAAAATTCATACCTGAGGATAGGGCTGCTCCTCTTGATACGGTGTCCTGCGATGGCACTCGTCGTAGCACCTGGCGTCGTAGGCACTGGGCGGCCGTGGATACTGATCTTGCGCCGCTACCGCGCAGCAGTCCGGGATTTGCGCCTGGTAGGTCTCGTAGGGACACTTTTGATCAGGCTGGACCGCTCGTGGAGCTTGGTGAACGCGCTCCTGCGGCCCGCTTCCGTAACCAGCGCCGCCGCCGCCGCCGCCACCACCGCCGACGACACCGCCACCTCCGCCGCCTCCGCCGCCGCCGGCGTGATGCATCGTCGTCGTCCACTCTCGCGGACCTCCTCTCGCCTGACCTCGCACCACACCACCACCACCCTCTCCCGATCACTGCATCCTAATGCTGCGTGTTGCGCGATATGCGATCGAATCCGCGGCCTCGGCGAGCCTTGTCTTTGTCGTGCCGCCCTCTTCGCACGAGTCCATCCTCACCACATTCAACTATATCTTGCGCTCTCTCCTTCTCTCTGCAAGCATCCCAGGGGTTCCCTCTAGCCCATCTCCTTACCCATACCTGTGCAATTATTGCGTGTGAGAAGCTCACGTGCGGCAAGTCCTCGCGTGCATTCGCGCGGGTGCATCAATTCGTCAAGTGGGAATTTGCACCGCGAACGTCACCCACATTCGCGCCCGACTCGCGCCTGCATCCCATTCGAATTAATGCACCGCATTACAACCCGGACTGGGGTAACTCTGGGCCATCTGTATTCTCTCTTAACTGCCGAAAGTAAACCGCCGCGCCGGCTCTCTTCTTTACCTACTTTGCGCGCGTATCCACGAGTCAAGAGGAAAGGGAGGGGACTTTTTTGCGTTATTTACTCGAGCTCTTTTAATCTTAGTCCCTTCGGGCGCTTTTTCAGCGTCCCTTCTCATAGCGCAAGCTTTTAGATACTCGTACTCGCAGAACGGCGATGCTCGATCAACGTGCCAGGCTTGATCCACTCATTGATCTTCTCTGACCCCTTGTCTGGCGAAGCGTACGGTGTGTTGCTGTGTAAACTAATGAGTTTGCAAGGAATAGGATGAAGAATCGATCCTCGCCGCAATTTTGACATGCTAAGAATGCTAATGCGCATCGTCGGCTATTTCGTAAGCTACTTTCGAGATACGTGACGGCCTGTTACGTCAATAGACATCGAGTACGGTGATGTTATAAATGCTTTAAAGCGTTTTTCAATTAGTCAATTGTACAATTCTTTCTTCTAATTGATCAATTAAACGCTTTGAAGATTTGCAGTGAGACTTTGACCATTAACGGCAAAGACATTCCTTCCATCATATATGGATTCCTAATACTAACTTCATATTATCGCAATGTTTACTGAAATCTTGTAAAAAAATTATTAGAGAATCCTTAAATTTTTCAGATATTTTTATTCAAAATTCTTGAGAAGTTTTTAATGCATCTTTGAAATATATTGAAATATAAACCAACTGTATATTGAAAGTTATTAGAAAACAGAGGTACCATGAGATTATTTATTATTTTTTGATTGTTTATACAGTTATACTACGAAACTTATATAAGATACGCAAAACTTACTAGAAAATAGTATCAGTAAAATATTCTATTGAGGTGAGAATTATCTTCTACTGTCACCCTAATTTATTTTATAAAAACTCGTGAAATATACATATATGTATATGAGAATATGTACGAATTTGTATGCCATCTTATTGTTAATCAATCAACATTTTGCATTATCAAAAAAGAAAATTATAAAAGCAATGTTTTAAGAAAAAAAAAAATAGAACTTTAATTTAAAATTAAAAAAATTTTCCTGATTCTTAATTATATGAAAATCTATGATTTTCAAGAAAAAGAGACGTCCCCTAAAAATTACAGATTTTCTAGATTTTTTCAAGGAATAAACACTCTGGTTTTCTAATATACTGATATCACGCTCTTATTATCTACATATAGAAAAAATCCAGAATCAGTAATAAATTTCCAAAAGTATTTAAAGATAATTAAAAAGGAAAAACGTAAAAAATATGTATTTATTATTTTACTAAAGATGATTTGAATTCATATGGCCTAACTGTCAAATTGAAATCAATGCATTCTCATTTCTATATTTTGAATAATATAGAGAGAGCGACATCCTTATTTCAGTTTAAAACATTGCATATATGGGAAAAATAAGAAGTACTAGTAATCCACACGGATATATGTCGAAAGGATATTCTGATCCGCGATGAATTTCAAGAAGTTCATCTGGATTATTTCTATCGAAAATCCATCCGTCTTTTACGTGAAATGAATTTTGTCTCTTTGGAAACCACACGTACGTACTTTCCTAATTTAAACTTACAGCGTTCGTGCGGTCTTCGCGCTGATACATCCTCGTTATAGATCTTGGATATATCGGTTATGCGCGGGACTAAGTTGGATGAAGTGTCTGTGCATGGACCGTAATTAGCGGCTCTTAATTTATCGTGTAAGGGTCATACAAGCGCGCCCGTGTGAAACTTTGATGCAACGATAGAGCAGCACATAGGCGAGATCGTGTAAAGATTTAACGTGTCTATTTGAGACACGTTGGCATGTCTTTACCACGGCTTTCGGATATGTTAATCGCGAAAGGCGCTCTGGATCGATCGCCATATTTAGAACAACTACTCTGCTCCCGTTTCCCTTTATTCGAATAGTTATATGTAACTCGATTAGTTTACAAAACAACGACGTATAATTTCAACTTGCATGATATCTGAATGGCACAACACATACAAAGAGGAAACGACCATACAAAATGCAATCCCTACTGCAATAGCCTGTATTCTTCCAATAGTCTGTAATTTTTTATTGCTGACATATACAAATGTAAGTAATGTACATATAATATTATCTGTTAATAGTTAATAAGAGAAAACATCTCTTTTCATTTAATATAATAATTTATGAAGAAATACGCCGTATTTGCCAGTGCAAATATGAGTGAACAAATATAACTGAAATCTCTAGGCATATTGTTGGACTTGAAAACTGAAAAAAAAAATATATATAACGTTTGTGTCAACCTCTGGTATAGAAACGAAATATTTAGTTTCCGTTTTGCTTGTTCACAAACAAAATATTTCATTTTTGTTTTCATGAACTGAAGTGAAAAAAACCTTTTAAAATAAATTTAAAATTTTAAGTGTAATTTAATACAAAAAATTTTGAAATTTAATACAAAAAATTTTGTGTACGTGTTATTTATAGCAAACGGATGCTCCTGCAATTAAATATCGATGAAATCTTGTGCCGCACGCGTATTATATATACGTGATATTTTAAAATTAATTAAATAATATCATGTAATATTTTATTTATCAGATTATAACAAGAATGACATTATTTATCTCTTATTATAAACGCTAATTAAAAACTCATAATTAAAATAATTATTCTACTTTTGTTTTTATTATCAAAATTTCAATTAATATCGTTATTATCTCGGTTTAATATTTAGTCGGGCTACTCATATGATGCCAATATGAAGCTAATATGTTGTTCACCGTTATAGCCATAGATAATAAATCAACTAGATATAGATACTAGCAACATTATATCGGCAATCATTGCCTTTTATGATCTCGATTATAGAGACGCTTCATAAGTTTCTGTAATCCGAACTTAATCCGCATACGGTATGTATAAGATGACGTCAGAGCTGCATTTAACTCGCGAATTGCTTCATTATTTTACTGAGATACTCATTCAAAATCGATCTTAATTGATATTATAACAAAACGTGTGTAATTTTTTAACTGTATTATTTCTGCGCAAAATATATGATCGTAATTTTTATCCATTTAATAAATTAACATAAATGTAATTTATTAAATTATTCAATATCATTTAAAATTAAGAAAAAAGAAATAGAGAACTATATATAAATTTTTCTACGATTGATACGAATAATTTATCGAGATTTTATTTAATTACGAAGATTTTATAGATGCGAAATCTGATATCTTTCTGATGCGCGAATCGATACTCAATACATTCTTACCTTTAATTCCTCACTGATTCTAAATATATAAACCAATTATATTGAAGAATCTTACAAATTGAAAAGTTACTTTTTTTTATTGAACGTAGTCGCAAGATCTTTTTTGCAGCGATTCAGGACGCTGGACAAGGTGAATTTTCATGACTGATTCTCAAAGTAATCTCATTATTATCCGCAACACTTCAGCTCTCACTTACTCGCGCTGAGTAGCACGTTTCGGGAGTTCGTGTGTGTCGGAAATCAAAAATCCCTCCGCAAATACTTCGGAAGATATCAGCGGCGATTTTTACCTCCGTTGTATCATAGACGGCATAACTTGTTTCGACCAACAAATGCGAACGTGCTCAGAACTGCGAATCCGTTGGCTCTCTCTCGAGTGAATTAGACGCTGAGAAGAGATATCGAAGAAAAATATTTCACGGTGCAAACGCGGGTTTCAAAGAATTTAAAATACAGTTCCGGTATACAGAGCTTCCCCTCGAGCTCTATTCTTTTTTATTATTGAGGTAGAAATGAAAGGAACATAATTGCAAAGGTAGTTTGGAGCATTCTTAATTCTCAGTTCAACTACTCATTTGAAAAAATCATTCTTTCATCCTTTAATTAACCACAGATTTTTTGCAATAATTTTTTTTTAAAAAGGAGAAACATTGACTTTTCTCTCTGATATATCTGTCCTTGGAAACAAAAGGTTTTTTGCGAACTAACAAAGTTTTTTGAAGGCAGTTAAATAGAAAATTTTTTTCTCCCATTTTACATTCTACTTTCACGAGTTTCAATTCCAGATTTGAGTAAGTGAATGAGTGAGTGAATGAAAGTGTGTGTGTGTGTGTAGAGTATCTCAAAATTTTTTACAAAATACTATAACAAGAAAATTCTTCAAAAATTAAATAGAAAAATTACTGCTTAAAATAAATATTTACAAATAACTCTTTTATACATAATCTTTCAAAAATTTCGCGGAAAGAATTTTCTCTTAAAATATGTCCTGAAAATATAGCAGTTGTGATACAATACAATATTTTAAAGATTTTTATTCTGCACTTCAGTTATAAATTAATCAAACTTATTCTATATATTTTATTGTAGTTTTATTAATAAATGGAAGAGATTTACATAAAAAATTCTACAAAATATACTGTTGTCCCCCGACTGTAATATTTTCAGGCTAAATTTTAAGAAAAAATTCTTTCCGTGTCTGCTAGTTAATATTTTGAGTTGCACATTTTAGGATTTTGCATATTAAAATATACCTATACC